CGTTGGTCTAGTGGTTAGAGCAGTGCCTGCGCTCTGAGAAGGTTGCAAGTACCTGGTTTGATCCCCACAGCCTCCTCTCTAGGTTCCTGAGGAAGATCCCTAACCCCACCCTGCTCCCCGGGCGCCGCACAGTGGCAGCCCACTGCTCCCCAAGGAGATGGGTTAATTACAGAGAGTTCATTTCTCCAACGTGAGATCAATTAAGTTCAATTATTAATATTATAAATGGAGTCATCAATTCTGCTGATCAGCAGGAGATCCTGGAGTCGAACAAACATCCAACAGGACTCAGCGGAAGGACAATGATCCAAAGCACAACCTGAACTCCATCTCTGAAAGAACAGCACCATGAAGACTCATGGAGTGGCCTAGTCAAAGTCTGGAAGAACTGCTATTTTGCAAGTTCTCCCACTTAGAAACCATGGAGGGTCTGAAATGGCCATCTTAGATGCATGTCCAAAAAAAAATCTAGAGATCAAAGTGTATTTTTTATCTATTCATTTGTTTGATCCAGCTGCAAATAAGTATTTGAACACCTGTCTATCAGCTACAGTTCTGACTGTCAAAGACCTGTTACTCATTAGCTGCATAAAGACACCTGTTCACCCCAAACAATCAGCAAGAATCCAGCTACTAACAACCAGAACCAAAGAGCTGTCCAAAGACACCAGAGACTAAACTGTCCTCCTCCACCAGGCTGGAAACGGCCACGGGGAAATAAACAATCAGCTTGGTGGAAAAAGCTCCACTGTTGGAGCTTCATTAGAAAATGGAAGAAGCTAAACATGAATGTCCATCTCCCTCAGACTGGAGCTCCATGCAAGATCTCACCTGGTGGGGCCTTAATGATCCTAAGAAAGGTGAGAAATCAGCCCAGAACTACATGAGAGGAGCTGGGACCACCGTTTCCATGGTTACTGATGTAAACACAATATGACGTCATGGTTTGAAATCATGCATGGAAGGTTCCTCTGCTTAAAGCAGCTCATGTCAAGGCCGTCTTCAGGTAATGAGCATCTGGATCCAGAGGAGTCATGGGAGGAAGTCATGTGATCAGATGAGACAGAAATAGAACTTTATGGCCTAATTCCACTAACTGTGTTTGATGAGTAGCATCCCTACTGTGAAGCATGGGGGTGGCAGCATGATGCTTGGGGGTGTTTTTCAGCACATGGGACAGGGCGAGTGTATTAAGGAGAGGATGAGCGGCGCCATGTGTTGGTAGATTCTGGGGAAAAACCTCCGTCCCTCAGTTAGAGCATTGAAGACGGGTGGAGGCTGGGTCTTCCAGCATCACAATGAGCCGAAGCACACAGCCAGGATAACCAAGGAGCGGCTCTGGAAGAAGCAGATCTAGGTTCTGGTGTGGCCTAGCCAGTCTACAGACCTAAACCCAATAGAGAATCTTAGGAGGGAGTGGAAGCCCAGAAACCTGACTCTTCTAGAGAACATCTGTGAGGAGGAATGGGCCAAAATCCCTCCTGCAGCGTGTGCAAACCTGGTGAAAATCTACAGAAAACATTTGACCTGTGGAAATGCAAACAAAGGCTACTGTAGCAAATATTAACATGGATTTTCTCAGGTTTTCAAATACTTAATCACAGATAAATCATACAAATAAATAGCTAAAAAAATCTCACATTGTGATTTCTGGATTATTTTTTCTAGATTATGTCTCTCACTGTGGATATGTACCTATGATAATAATTTCAGACCCTCCAGTTAATTTTGCTCACTGTAAATCTGAGTTGATGTGACCTTAAATCCTACTTCATGCAGCCAGATAGTTTCTGTTTCAGGGATTTCTCCGCTCTGCAGGTCTGAGTGAGGATAACGAGGTTAATCAGAGTTAATAAGCAGGTAATTACTGCTTCATGCAGGCCAGGATGGAGAGGACAGCTTCTCCCTCTGGAACTACAGTCATCATTTGAGAAGCTTCTTTCTTTCTTTATTTTTTCTGGTCGTATCTAAAACTCGGAGGCCGCTCAGCGTTCTCACAGCTCCAGATGTTTGGAGACAACTTAGATTGGAGTTTCTACTAAAAACTTGATTTTACACCAAACAGGTGAAATCAAATCAGGGATACTGGGATGAAACGGGTTGGTTGAGTCACCATATTAATCAGGATTCATCCCAGTGGACTCTAGATGAGGTCCAACAGGCTCAACAGGAATAAACAAAAGCTTCTCCCTGTGAGGTTCCTTCTCTGGATTTAGAAATATGAAGAAAAAGCCTCCGATTCATTTTGATCCAGGTACGACACGCTGTAATCCAATCCAAGGAGGGAGGACCTCCTAATCCACTCTGACTGGTGTGCCATCAAAGTGGATTAATGCACAATAACACCCGCAGATAAATAAAGTCTGAGATCCGTTTATGGTCACTGACTTCCAGTTATTTTCCTCACAATGAAACGTTCAGTCTGTTGGGTTACGTTACACGTCACCGCTGAAAGAAACACTGATCAACACTCACTACAGCCACTAGTTATAATGCAAAAAAGAGCAATAAGAATCATTCACAATGCCGGACTTTGGGATCATACAAACGCATTATTTCTAAAATCTAAATTGCTAAAATACCAGGACTTGATAGAATACCAAATTGCAGTGTTCATGTTCAAAGTAAGACAGGCTATTGCCTGGAAATATCCAAAAGATGTTCTCTGAAAGGGAGGGAGGGTACGCTTTAAGGGGAAGGGGAAGACTAATAGATGTAGAACAACTAGAAAAAGATTATGTTTATCAATTTGCGGAGTTAAATTGTGGAACAAACTAAATGAGAACCTAAAGCAATGCCCAAATATATTCCTTTTCAAAGAAATGTACAAAGAAATTATTTTCAAAAGGTATAGAGAAGCATTGTAGAAAGTTTAGTGTTTTTTGTTTTATTAATTTCTAAAAATGTATGATGGAATATGTGTATACATATTTATGTATGTATATGTGTAGGTAGGGATGTATTTATATGGATATATATAACAACATATTTATAAATAATGTAAATTAAAGAAAAACAAGAATTAAAGGGGTAGGAGTACATAAGTTTTACTTCTTCCTACTCATTTTCGCACATGTAATGGAGGTATATTGACTCAGGAAAGAAGGGGACCTTGTTTGTTTTTCTTCTCTCCAATGTTTTAAAACATTGTTTTTTTGTTTTTCTCTTGCATGTTCGAAATAAAGAATAAAAAAAAAGAAAAAGAAACGACTCCTGAAGAGTCTGGAGGATCAAACCTGGACTCAGCGTTTGAGTTACATTCAAGACTTTTTAATGCCAATAGAAATAAAAAAGAACAACTTCACAATAAACACAATAAAAACCTGATCTTACCCAAATGTTTATTTTAACATAAACCACCATTTTCTGCCCCAGTAAACTGTTTCATTCCATTGTATACACGTGGACGCACTGTATATACTGTTTATACCACATGCACCTTTTCCTCCTTTTCACTATTGAGCCAATCTGATAAGTGAATTTCCTCGCTGTGAGATCAATTAAGGCTATCCTATTTTATCTAATCTTAAAACTCTCTATAGAGGAAGACAAATACTAAACTGAATGCATGAACTTTGTTTTGTTGCCTCCTCAAAGTCCATAATAGCTCTTCTCTCATTGTAGGCGCAGCGCCAAACATTATCCGGAGATTTGGTGTTAGTGTTGCTGATTTGGAAGAGACAAGGGATGAAGAGAACGTAGAAACATCTGATGCTTCTCCGTAACTTGATTTGGACGCTCTGCATGTGAGACGCCACTGCCTTGATCCGCATGGTGCCTCATCTACATGCACTGGTTCTGGCTTTAGCTGCGTAGAAAACTCTAGATAGGCAGTTTTCATTTTATTAACGTTTCCATGTTGTTTAGATAAATGGTTAGCAGCGCATTCCCATCAATGTCCGCCTGCAATTATCGTTTTTATTGGTTCCTCTTCTAAAAGTAGCAGCAGCAGCAACCCAGACTGACAGCTCATTGGCTCATTTGGATCACGTGCAGCCTGGAGCCGGACGCTCCCCAGGGCTTTACCGTATTAACAGGAGAAGAGGCGCAAGTGAAATTAGACACTGCTGTCGGACAATTTAGAAATTATTTAAATCAGGTTGAGTCCGGATTAGCCAGCAGGTGGGGCCGCAGGTCCAATAATCCGTGACCTCTACTCTATCAGGACGGAACTAATAAAGCCGTTCGGTTAATGTAAAAAAAAAGTTATTACCAATTATTTTCATGTTTGATTTGGATTCAACAATAAAATCCTTTATATAAGGTGGAAACAATTTTAAGACCCCATGAAAGATATTTGAATACCAATTAAAGTCTTGAATGCATTAGTTTTAGGTATAAATAATGATCCATTATTATTTGGACTTTTCCATTAAGGATCCACAGGAACTCTGTGGTCTTCATGGTCTCCATCATTCCAGATGGACACCAGTTTCCTTCCATGAAGGTTCTGATTCAAGGTTGTTTGTTTTTTAACCCGTTTAACTGAAGCTGCTTTCAGAGAAAAGTTTATCCAGACTTTCAGCTTCTCTCTGACGTCTCAACCATGAGGCTTAAAGACGCCCAGATGACGCTCAGCTCTGCCCCGTTCCTCCATGATGGATTGCTTCCATTTGCACCGCACTGGTTTCCCATTGATCTTTGATTCAGGATGAACTAAAACCAGCTCAGAATCAGGCTGCGCTCCAACAGCCCAGCTACCCTGACTGGTTTCAGCTTTAGCAGCAACTTTCCACAAACAAGCTTTCCAAAAAAGTTGGATTAGAGTATGGAAAAGCCCGTCTCTGGGCTTCCTCCTTCCTGTCAGCACTACATGGTGACCAGCTGGGAAAACGGGATTACTGGAGGTGTTCAGGTTGACTTCATGACTCAGATCCAGCCTCTAACAGGCTTACAGCATAACAGGATTAGAAAGCAAGGATTCCCCGATGCCTTCTCCTGAATGAAAGGTGAGACGAGGCCACGATGACGGAAACAGAAAGACCAGAAAGGTTTCTTACCCGTCTGTCTGAGGAGACCAGTCGGAATTCCTGCAGCAGCTTCCCAAACACGGAGCGGTGCGTCTTCCTGAACGGGTGAATGGTCCCCTGCCGGTAGGAATGGGAGAGTTAATGGAAGAAACATCAGCAAAGAAACTAGAAACCATCCCATGTTCCCCACATGAACCCACTCATTATATCTAATTTTCTGCATCCAAACATGAAACAGGAATAAAGCTGAACCATGAAGTCAGTTCTGGTGTCGATGAGTCAGACAAATGAAGACCAAATAGTTTTTAAGGTGGTATTATTAGGATCAACATGAATACCAGAAGTCCAGACCAGATTGTTTCAGTTTGTCAGACTGGGAATGGCAAAGATTGGCCAACGCTGCCACCATGTGGTCTATTTTAGCACCGCAGCTCCAATTTATCAGATCAGATGAGGTTTTACTTCAGAAGACCAAAGTTTAAGGTTCTCCCACCAAACGTATGAGCTCCAATCATTTTCAAACAGTCTAATCAAGAGACATTAAAACGTGTCAAAGGTGGGTTAAGGGGGGGATCTATGTTAAGAAAGACTGGAAAGACTCTGAGGTCCAAACCCAGAAATGTTTCTTCATAAAAAAAGAAGCTTCCCTCTTTAACAGCAGGAACACACTGCGGCTCTACCTTTCTTAGCCTCATCCGAAATACTCAGGTTATCCTGATCTATCTCTATAGTTCTGCTGCTATAGGCTTAGACTGCTGGAGGACATAGGGACCCCTTTTTCATCATTCTGCTTCATTCTATCTCTATTCTCCCACTCTGCAGAATCTGTTAGTTCAATCTCTAACGTTCTGCTCTCTCTGCTTTTTCTCATAGTAGCTTCATCTGGTCTGTTCCTGTTTGGCTGTGACTCCATCCTGGAGAGAAATATCAGCTGTGCTGCTGCCATCAACACCTTTGTTTCTAGATGCTGGAGCTTGGCCTGTTTTCCAGTGTAGACCTGTTTCTCTGACTGTGACTAACTGGATGTGCTCTCTTCATCCTCTGACATGGGAGCTGGCTCGGAGCTCGCCTGCCTGGCTGTGTGTTTCCTGGACGGGGCTGACTTTTACAGCTGCTTTTTGTATCTATGCTTCTTTTTCTATGTCTGCTTCTGTCTCCTTGAACCCCAGTGGGCCTCAACAGATGGCCGCTCACACTGAGCCTGGTTCTGCTGGAGATTTCTTCTTGTTCAAAGGGAGTTTTTCCTCTCCACTGTCGCTACAAGCATGCTTAGTGTGAGGGATTGCTGAAGAGTCAATGAGTCGATGCAATCAGCTGGTTTTCCTTAGATAGAAAACTTTGAATCAATCTGACTGGATGATCTGGTGAACTGGAAAGTGACCTGAGATGACATGATGTGAATTGGAGCTATAGAAATAAACTGAATAGAATTGGTTGAATGGACAGAGAGGAGACGCTTACCAGGACGTAGGTGTCTTGCTCGTGCTTCTTTCTGTGCATGGGAACATCTGCAGAGACAAATATCCTCCAGTCAGAATAGAAGGACGGTGAACTAGAAATGAGCAAAGAATTCTGTCTCTGGGTTTCAGAGGGAAAATAAACTCGTTTATTTCTACTACAGATCATAAAGCAGATTCAAAGGAAGAAGCCGACTGGAGAAACGTCTTCCTGCAGATGGTTTTCTTCACAGCATGACCTTCAAAGTTCGCTGAAGCATCTTCAATCTAAGCTGAAGAGTCAGCTCCTCTAAAGCCTGATTCATTTCTCCCACTGCATTAAACTGGGCTGACGAAGACTTCATCATCTTCATCATCACCATCACCATCATCATCATCAGCTGTTGGGCTGCAGGGTCTCCCAGGCAGCTCATATGTTTGTGAACACAGTGACTCTGAACCCTGACAATAAACAGCTAATCCTCAGCTTCTAGAAAGAAAACATGAGAGGAATCCTGAGCTGGTTTATAGGAAATCCAGCTCATGTTTTCCTCACTTCCATTATTAATCTCTCAGGAACTAAAAGGAGAAAGAAATAATGCCAATATTCTAACCTTGAGTAGACAGAGATCCCACCACACTGCAAAAATTACCTAGAAATAAGTCAACATTGCTTAAATTAAGTGTATTTCCCCTTATTTTGCGTAGGTAGAAAATATTATTTTTACTATTAGATAATATGCACTTGAAATAAGACAACGCAATAATCTTTAACTATCTTTAACTGTCTCACTTTCCTCCTTGATTCAGAACGAATTCGCTTATTTTAAGGAAAAAATGACTTATTTAGATATCAGTGTTTTTGCAGTTCTAATGATAAAAAGGGGAAAGCTCTTAAAATGTTTGTAGACGGCTTTTAAAAAGCTTTTCCCATTCAGCCCTATTAGGACGTTGTCCTCCCTCTGCTCCAGCACAGACACCTTCCAGCCGCCACCTTCTATCCCCGCTCCGGCTCTCTATTTCTGCCTAGCGACTCCGCTGGTCTCCCGCTGTGGCTCTAAGCTCCAGAGGGGCCACAGCTGGACGCCTCTTCTGGTTCTGGTTCTTGCTCTGATTTCCTGCCGTTCCTGTCTGAGCTCCAGGACACTGTTTCACTTTAATCCTGCGGTCCAGGTAAGTCGTTCTAACCACCAGGACCACAAACCGGGTCATGGATAAGCGGACCTACCGCACATGAAGGAAGCACCATTAACCAGATTATTATTATTGTTTTGCTAATCGATTAATCTTTTATTCTTTTTGATTAATAATCAGATAAGACTTTTTACAAAAATTAAAACAGGTGAAACAAACCTTTCTACCTGTGGAGTTCTGGATAGAGCAGATTAACAGACGATTAAAATGTTTCATTTAAATGCAAAACGTCTCTCTCTCTCTATATATATATATATATATATATATATATATATATATATATATATACACACATTTTTTTTATTATTTTGGTATAATTCCTTCTCTAAGTCGGTCACTCTTTCAGCTAAAGGCAATTTTTACAGTCTGTATACTCAAGTTAACAATTAATCGATGACTAATTAAGTTGATGATTATTTCAATAATCGATTAATCCGATTGTTTCAGCTCTGGAATAAATAAAAAAACAAATGCTGCAGCTTTAAAGCAAAGCCTCACTTAATGATTCTGTGCAGCATCTACTAATAATCAGATAGCTAAAGGTTCCTTAAAGAAGATTATTTTACTAAAGGAGTTCTGGATAAAACAGATTGACAGAAGAAAAGGTTTTTTTTTTTATATTAAATGCAAAATGTTTACATTTTTTTTTCCAGTTTTGGTTTAATTCCTGCTCCAAGTGTGTCGCTCTGTCAGCTTAAGACATATTTTACAGTCTCTATACTCCATTTAACGATGAATCAATTACTAAATTAATTGACGATTATTCCATTAATCGATTAATTAGATGAATAGTTTCAGTCCTAAACCAGACGCAGCTCCTAGAGTACGAGCTGTTCTACATACTGGTTCCAATTTCAGAGAATCTGGTGAACCCTGGGATGCCAACACTGACGGCTTTGTTTGGCTTTCCCCCAGTAAAAAATATTAAAATACAGCGAGTTGCTCTGTAAATCCATGTGGAGATGAAACCAACGACCATCAGACGTAGCGGAGACTTTTAGCCGCGCTGTGATTTACTTTCACCAGCCAGGTGGATATCTGGTGAAAAGCAAAAACCTTTTTCTCAGGTTAATCATTCAGTGATATTTAAGGACGTCCCACTCCATTATCAGGCCAATATTACAATATTAAAATCTCTGATATTGGAACGTTGATAAGAACACAGAGTTTCTGTCTAAAGTTTATGTCACCTATTGCATAATAATAAATGAGTCTCATGTCAATTATTGATGATAATTGTTCTCCTTTGAACAAATCTTTACTAACATTCTACAACACCAAATAATCTGTCAATTCACAAAGGTGCAACATCAGTATTAGGACTGAAACAATCAGATTAATGGTGATTAATTAATCATTGAAATAATTAACTAATTTAGCAATCAATTAATGGTTAACAGGAACATAGAGACTGTAAAACATACTTTTAGCTGACAGAGCGATCCTATATTACTCAATTAATGGAAAAATTAATCAACAAATTAATTGATTTGGGAAGTAATCATTAGTTGCAGCCCTAATTGGTATAATTTCAGAAATGTTTATAAGATCACAAACATTTTTCCAGACACTGTACATTCAAAAACATTAGAAATGATGTTACAAGCGGCAAATAAGCAGTCGCTGTTTATATTCAATAAATGTTTAAGCTAAGGCAGCGGAGTTATAACTTAAGGGGGGTTACTAATGTTTGAAACTAACAAAGCCAGAACTAATCAACTGAGAACTAATAAATGTGTGTCAGTTTAGGGAGCAAAATTATGGAATGTAATCAGATGTGTCAAATACTTCATTACTGTACTTAAGTACACATTTTAGGTATCTATACTTTACTCCATTACTTATTTTTCTTCCTACTTCTGACTTCATTACATTTTCACACCAGTATCTGTGCTTTCTATTCTTTACATTTTTATTCGTTACTCTTCGGTTTAATGTTTCTAAATCTTTATTTCCCGTCATGTGCTCCATCCAATGCAGATCATTGGCCCCGCCCACATCTAGTGAAAACTAGTGTGATTGGATGAGTCATAGAACGCAAACACTCATTGGTTAGCTAAAGGAAATCATCAGAAGCCAGCAGGTGTTCTTCAAACTGCTAACGTGAATTGTCTATGCCATGCTACAATGTGGGATTCAGAAAAAGATGCTAAAATGTCTGAAAGGTCGGACACAGGCGAGAGCTTATCGGGAGACGGAGACCAACCAGACCTCCCTCATCCTTGGCCCTATCTCAGAGGATTTATAGAAATAGTCGAAACATTGAGCTTTCAATTCATATAGTGGCATCTGGCTGTTTTTATTAAGTTTACTTTATACTTTTATACTTTAAGTAGTTTTTGGAGCAAATACTTTTTCTCTTTTACTTGAGTAAAGAGGTAAAGTTGATACTTCAACTTTTACCAGAGTGTTTTTAAACTGCAATATCTATACTTCTACTGAAGTAACAAATGTGTGAACTTTGACACCACTGAATGTCTTAAACGATGAAATAAAGATGTGTTACTCTATATTAGTTTTCAAAAGGACTTTAAAATATTAATATTATAAAAGGTTACAATGAAATTTTTGATTTTTCAGTTAAAGTTAAATATGTGTTTTGTAATTATGTATTAGTACAAATGTTTTTATTGCGAATTATTCTTATGATAGTACAGGATAGGAAAGATAAGCCTTGTGGCTTCAGCCTTTTTCTGTTGCTGTCTGATGGATTCTTTTGTAAAAGATATATTATTTCATTTTTTTGTTTTTAAACTGAAATAAAGTAATCATACATTCAAATTAAAAACCTAATTAAAAATCATCAGCATTAGATGCTAGATGATGGGTCCAACATGTAGGCTGTGGTTGGGGAGATGTCCAGCCTTTTAATAATCTCTAAAGTCCTGGAAGCTCGATAACAGAAAAGCAAAAAGTTTTCCTCTAAATTCATCTTCTTTTATCCTATCAGTGATTGGCTGCTACCTCTGACATATTTGGTCTTATTCGTTATAACCTGAGGTCATTTCAGTTCCTGACCCGCTGCTCTGGTGGCCTTTAGCAGCCGCTTCAAATGGAAACTAAAACTAGATTCTTCTTGTTTAACTGGGGATTTTTATTTCCACTGTCACCCAAAGCTTTGCCATCATGACTAAAAAACGGTTCTCTGCTGGTTTCCTCTTGAATGAACAGTAAAGATGTGAAACTGGCTGCACCGCTTCAGAGGACAGGAGGACCTGGATCAGGATCCGAATTTAAAAGCTGGACTGGATTAGATCCAATTCAGTATAAACTGGGTTAAACTGTTCCACATGGATTGGGAGAAAGCGACACATTAACAGCGATTTAAACGGTGAGTTGGAGAAGTTAGAGATCAGCAGAGATAAACTAAAGGCAGCAGCAGGCGAACAACAGAATAAACAAAGACAGAACCGATTAACAGAACCTTAAAAACAAGATTCCCTGAAGCTAAGAATGGAAACACCAGCTGTTAGCAGAGCTAGCATAACAAACCCGGCTCTTTGATGTTTATGACGTCCACCGACACCATGTCCGGTTTATCCAGCGGGATCACTTTCCGCTCCGTCACCCCGGACGGAACCACGTCCGGCTTCGGACCGAACTTTCTGGGGTAGAAATCCCCCGCTGCTTGGTAGGAGAGACCCGGGGACGTGGACATCATCCCGTCCATCGCCATCTTGGACTTCCGCCTCCTCCTCCTTCTTCTTCTCCTTCTCCTCCTTCTTCTTCTTCTTCTTCTTTAATGTAGTAAACACAGTTTGACCAACACTGCCCCCTGCTGGGTCCTTTCTTTTATGCCTTTATATTAATTATTAACAAACCTTCCACTTCTTGACTTTAGAGGATTAGGGCCACTGGGAAAAAAAGTTAACTGATATTCAAACATTATTTCAGTTTAATATGAGGAAAAAGTCATAATTTGAATATTTTGAATTGAAAAGCTTCCTGGATGGAACGGAAACGTCTTCAAACTTGGAAACAAAGTCCAGTGGATTGTTTTTTAAAAATTTTTGGAATGACTATGACCCGAATGACTGAGAATCTTCACCAACATACGAACTAAATATGTTTTAACAGAATTAACTTGTTGAAGAGATGGATCTAAATCACAATGATTCAAACTGGAAAGAAGAGGTTTGCTGAAATACCTCGTCTAATGGAAGGCATGAAGATTCACTGATTCTACTTGATTAGTTTTTGAGACATCCATCCAAAAGACATCCTGTCAAATAATGCCCTGCAAGCTGGAGGAAGCAGTCAATCATGCAGAGTTAGCCAATCAGCAGCAGAGTGCAGAAAAATTCTGCAGAAACACCAAGGATGAAAAGCAGAAGACTGCTGCTTCTGCACATGTAATTTTTCTGATGGAGATGCAGATGATTGGAGAACCTGGAGAAGCAAAGGCCGAGTCTGTTTGGTTCCATCAGCGAAGCATCCAGGTTCAAACCAAGTGTTGCTTCTCAATAAAGGATCGGATCTGAAACCAGAAGGCAGGAACAGTTTGGTGAAGATCTATGGATCTTCCTGCAGGTTGAGATGCTTTGATGTTCATTAATCTTTAATTCACTAAATATAGAGTGAAGCAAATAGCGATTTATTATTCCTAAAGATCTTTTCAAGGAGGGACATAGTGTAATATATGGGAGCTGTTTATCCTGAAGTGTATCTAGCAAAGCACAGATTTAACAGCTCTTTCATCAAATAGAAACTCTGCAATGACTTCATGTTGCTGGATGTCGACGTGAGAATAAACATCAGAAACTGTTCATCTCACAGTAAACTGCCTAAAGATAGCAGCTGCTGAAACATTTGGACCAAGAGTCTAAATTCTCCGTTCAGTCAGAGAGAGAAGGACAGAAAGGCAGTTCTGTTTACACACTGCAAAAAATAAAATCTAAATAAGTCATTTCCTCCTTGAAATAAGTGTATTTTTTCTTGAATTAAGTATTTAAGTGAGACACTTTGCCAAAGGAATAAGACAATTTACACTTAAAATAAGAAAAAACAATTGCATTTTCTTATTTCAAGTGCATAATATCTAGATAACTTATTTTAAGAGTAAAAATACTCATTCTATTGGCAACTCATCTTATTTACCGGCTCAAATTAAGGGTAAATACCCTTAATTTAAGACATTGTTACTCATTTTGAGATCGTTTTTGCAGTGCATTTGTCTGTCATGGCCCACCCTGAGCTCCACTGAGCTGATCAGCACTGAGCAACCAACTCTATTACCGTAAATCCTTTAATATAGGCCGGGGCCTTTATGTCACTCAGGTGCATCTGGGTCCAGGCCATTATTGGAAGGAGGCCAGAATTAGAGGCAGGCCTCTATTTCTATTTGATCAAAACAGACGACCAGTGGAATGAATAAAAAACAGATGTTGTGTCTCTTTGAACCTATAAAAAATAGGTTAATTTATTGAAAAAGTACAGTTACCATAACGGTATACAGAACATTATTCAGACATCTTCCAGCAGCTACAATTCTTCTGAACAGCAATACGAAAGAAAAAAAGCGACAGAATTGGCCAAACAGACTTGCAAAACAAGCTTAAAAAAAGAATTAATTCAAGGGAAATTCAGAACAGACTTAGACTTTATTAATCCCTGGGGATTACTCCCTTCGGGAAATTGTATTTCCAGTAGCAGGAAAAATTGCATATACAAGAAAATAGAGGATGTTTAGACACAGTATATACAATAGAAAAATAAAATCAATTAAATAAGATGTAGGAAGAGGTATTGGGGGATGAGGATAGACAAATAAATACAGAGGGCTATAGCAACAACGAAGGCCAACGAAATTCTGTCATTTTAACGCTGCCTGGTTACCACCAGACCTACCGGTAATCACATTTGCAGTGTGTCGCAGTGAGCTTGATGCAGACATTTTTGATTTATTCTCAATATTGAAGCGTGGTCTGCGCTACACGCTGTGGGTCTATATACGACTGAGGCGGTGAGGAAGTGGGGGCGAGTTTAGTCTGACAACCGAGGGACATGAGGGCCAAAAAGAGCGGGGATCCAGCTGGAAAAAGGCTCCCAGCGTTCTCGATCACCTCACTCTTCTAGCGGGTCAAACTTCACGAGTTGTTTTTTCACAATTTCGGTCGTAAAAAAAAAACAAGTCGGCCTCCTGTCTGCGGCACTGTCTGCGCTAAGGATGGGACTTCCTATGCTAATGGCTTGGATTCCTTAGCAAACACTGCCCCCCTGTGGTACCTGTATGTTACTATCACAAGTTGTTGAGGACTGCCCAGGAACATCGTTTGTTCTTATTGTAGCCCCGGCCTGTATACGAGGCGGGCCATTATTTACCTCCGCTGACAGTGAGACAGACCATTATTAGATACCCGGCTGCTAATAGAATACAGGCCAATATTAGAGGATTTACGGTATGTCAATAGGAGGCACTCAGCCAGGGGAGAGAAGGAGAAGGGAGAGAGAATAGGAGAAGAAAAGAGGGATGGAAGGTTGGAGGTTTTAGTCTAGAGTGCTGCAGAGAGGAAAGAGAGATCAGTAAAAATGATGATGGATGGATGGATGGATGGATGGATGGATGGATGGATGGATGGATGGATGGATGGATGGATGGATGGATGGATGATGGATGGATGGATGGATGATGGATGGATGGATGATGGATGGATGGATGGATGGATGATGGATGGATGGATGGATGGATGGATGGATGATGGATGGATGGATGGATGGATGGATTGATGGATGGATGGATGGATGATGGATGGATGGATGGATGATGGATGGATGGATGATGGATGGATGGATGGATGGATGGATGGATGGATGATGGATGATGGATGGATGGATGGATGATGGATGGATGGATGATGGATGGATGGATGGATGGATGGATGGATGGATGGATGATGGATGGATGATGGAAGGATGGATGATGGATGGATGGATGGATGGATGGATGATGGATGGATGGTGGGTGGATGGATGGATGGTGGATGGATGATGGATGGAGATGGGTGGATGGATGGTGGAGATGGATGGGGGATGATGGATGGAGGGTGGATGATGGATGGATGGGTGGATGGGGGGATGGAGGGTGATGGATGGATGGATGGATGGATGATGGAGGTGATGGAGGATGGATGGAGGGTGGAAGGGTGGAGAGGGGGGAAAGGATGGATGATGGAGGGGTGGATGGATGATGGATGGATGGGAAAAGGGGGATGGTTTATGGATGGATGGAGGATGGGGGATGGATGGGTGGATGGAGGATGGGATGGGTGGGAGGTGGATGGAGGATTGAGAATGGATGGATGGATGAGGTGGATGGATGGATGGATGGTGATGGTGGTGGTGGTTTGGGATTTGGGGTGTGGATGGGTGGAGAAAGGGGTGGATGGAGGGTGGTGGAAATGGATGGTGTTGGGGTGGTGGTGGATGGATGGATGAGGGTGGATGAGGATGATGGATGGATGGATGGATGGATGAATGGATGGAGGATGATGTTGGTGGTGAGGGTGGTGGTGGATGATGGTGATGGATGGATGGATGGTTGGGTGGAGGATGTGGGTGGGTTTTGGTGGGTGGTGGATGGTGGAGGATGGATGTGGATGATGGGTGGATAGGATGGATGGATGTGGGGGGGTGGGTGGATGGTGGATGGATTGGGTGGTTGGTGGATGGATGAGGGGTGGGTGGATGGATGGATGGGTGGGGTATGGAGGGGGGGTGGAGGTGGGTGTGGATGGGGATGGTGTGGAGATGTGGATGATGGATGTGGTGGATGGATGATGGTGGGTGGATGGGTGGTGGATGGGTGGGGGAGATGGGGATGGATGGATGGATGATGGAGGATGTGGATGGATGGGTGGAGGATGAGGATGGATGATGGGGTGGAGGGTGGGTGGGTGATGGATGGGTGGAGATGGGTGGTGGGTGGAGGATGGATGGATGATGGGGGGTGGGGGGATGGATGGAGATGGGTGGGTGGATGGATGGATGGATGATGGATGGGGGATGGATGGATGGGTGGAATGGGGGGTGGATGGGTGGGTGGATGGATGATGGGGGGTGGATGGATGGATGGATGGATATGGGGGGTGGATGGATGGATGGGTGAGGATGGGTGGGTGGGGGGTGGGGGATGTATGGGTGGGATGGGTGGATGGAGATGGATGGGGGAGGATGGATGGGTGATGGTGGTGGATGGATGGGTGGATGATGGGGGTGGAGGATGGATATGGAAGGGGTGATGGATGGATGGATGGATGGTGATGGATGGATGATGATGGGTGGGGGGATGGGTGGAGGATGGATAGGATGGGTGGGGGATGGATGGAGAGGATGGATGGATGGATTGGATGTGGATGGATGGATGGATGATGGATGGGTGGGGAAAGGGGGGTGGATGGTGGATGGGTGGATGGAGATGGAGGGGGGATGGGTGGAGATGGATGGAGATGGATGGGTGGGTATGGATGGAGGATGGATGGGTAATGGATGGATGAGGAGGATGGATATGGTGAAGGATAGATGGATTTATGGGGGAGATGGTGGGGGATGGAGGATGGATATGGTGTGGAGAGGATTGGTGGATGGATTGGATGGATGGATGGAGGATGGGATGGATGGATGGTGTGGATGGTGGAGGTGATGGAAAGGTGGATATGGGTGTGGGGAAAGGATGGATGGTGGATGGATGGATGATGGATATGTGGGATGGTGGGTGGATGGAAGGATGGAGGGTGGGTGGATGGGAAAGGGAAAGGAGGTGAAGGAAAAGATATGGAGGGGGGAGGATGGATGGAAAGGGTGTAGATGGGGATGGGTGGTGGGTGGAATGGTGGTGAGGAGGATGTGTGGTGGTGGATGGAGGAGGATGGTGGAGGATGGATGATTGGAAAAGATGTGGGGGATGGATGATATTTATGGTGATGGGAATGTGGTGGGATGGAGGGGGTGGTGGGGTTATGGTGGATGGATTTGAGGAAAATTGGGGGTGGGGGATGGTGGAGGATGGATGATGGGAAAGGGGTGATGAATTTTTATGGGTGGGTGAAGGTGGAAAAGGATGGGTTTGGTGGATGGATGGGATATGGGGGGGGTGAATGATGGGTGAGATGATGGGTTTATATTATGGATGGATGGATAAAAGGTGATATAATTTATATGGGAGGGGGTAGGGGTGGGGAGGTGGGATATTTATATATATTTCATAAAAATATTATTGGATTTTTGGGGAAATGGTGGATATTATGGGTATATGGTTTTTGGATGGTTTGATGGATGGATATGCTTTGGATGGTAGGAAGGGTATATGATATGATGGTTGTATGGAGGGTAAAATGGGGGTGAGGATTGATTATGATATGGAGGATGATATTAATATTTGGGGTTTTGGGGTGGTGGAATTTGGGGTTATTATATATTTGGGTATGATATGGGTATATGGATGGATTGGGGTATATATTATGGATATATGGTAGATATATTAATTATAATATAATATTATAAAATTTTTTTATATATATATATTATGGGGGAAATATATTGGATGGGGGATGGATGGATGGTATTATATATATTAAATGGATTATAAAATATATTAATATATGGTATTATGGTTGGATATATAATATATTGAATATATTGATATGGGTATATTTATGTGATATGGGGTATATTATATATATATATATATTTATATATGGATATTTAAAAGGATATGGTGGAAAATATGGATGATATGGATGGGTATGGATGGATGAGGATGGTTGGAAAATATAGATGAATGGATATATTATGGATGATATATATGTTGGAAGGAATGGATATATATTATATAGTTGAGGTTGGGGTATATTTATATATGGTTTATGGGGATATGGAAATTATGGATGGATTATATGGATATGATGGATGGATATATATGGAAATTTAAAATGGATATGATTATTGGATTATTATTAATAAAAATTATTTAAAATGGTGGGTTGGGTTATATTAAATATATTTAAAAATGGATTTAAAGATGGATGGGTATGATATGTATATATTAAATATTTAAAATATTTTATTATGGAATTGGTGTATTATATATATATATGGTTATATTATTATGGTTGGATATGGGTATGGAGGAAAATTATGAATATATATGGATGATATATGGATATGGGATATATATGGATGGGTATATTAATATGGATGATATATATGGATATTATATATTTGGGGGGATGATTTATTGGGGGTTTAAAATAAAAGGATTTATATTTAAATATATGGGAAAAATATATTATAATGGTTTTAGGTGTGGTGTGGGATATAAATTTGATATTATGATATTGATATGAAAATTTGGGGATGGATTTGGGATATGGATAAAATATATATAAAAGGAATTTATAAAAGGGGGATGTGGAATTGATTTGGGTATATAATATTTAAAGGGGGTGGTGGAATTTTTAGGATAAAAATATTTAAAAATTATTATATATGAATATATATATAATATTGGTTTAATGGATATGGATGGGATGGATGATATAATATGGGGTTTATATGATGGATATATGATATTTAAAGGGATAATAGAATGGATATTTTTATAGGGATATATTTATTTTATATATATATGATGGAAAAAAATATGAAAATTTTAAAAAATATATGGGGGGATTATGGGTATTGGAAAATTATATATATTTTGGATCTGAAATGATGGTATGGATATATAATATGGGTATTATAATTAGATATTTAAAATTTATATGGGTATGGATGGATGGATATGGAAGGATTATAATTTAAAAAAGGGAGGGGTTATTAATAAAATATATAAAAATGGGTTAAAAATATCTTAAAATTATTTATGGGTAAATATTAATTGGGTATTATTTAAAAATAGATATAAAAAAGATATAGGGTATATTTAAAATTTTATTATATATATATTTTAAAATTTATATATATTTAGGGGAAAAATATATGGATGATATATTATATATATATATGTATATATATAAAATATGGAAATTTAAATATAAAATATTGGAATGGATAAAATGGATTATATAATAAAAATTTAAAAAATATAATTGGGTATTGGGGTATATGGTTTAAATAATATATTAGTTTATTTAAATTGGAAATAAATATAGGAAATTTGGAAATAAAATTTAATATTATTAAAAATGGAATGAATTCTTTTAATTATATGGATATATATATTCCCAAATTATTATATTTAATTGATTTAAAATATTTTGGGGGTGAATTAAAATATATATATATTTGATGGATAATATTTATATTATTTAAAAATATAGAAAAATTATATGGGATATATGGTTTTTTTAATATTATATTGGTGAATTATATATGATAAATAAAATATGTATTGGGGGGATATATATTATGGTGGGTATATAAATTTATGGATATATATGATATATATATTTATATATTTATATATATAATAAAAAATTATATATTATGGGGGGATATTTTTTATTGATTTAAAGGGATATATATATATAATATAAATATATAATAATTATATTTTAAAATATTATGGTTTTATAAAATAAAGGAATAGGATGGGTTAAAATAAGATGGGTGATATATTTTTATATGGATAATTGGAGGAAATAGGAAATTTTAATATATTTTATATTAATTTATTAATATTAATAACATAAATTTAAATATTATTATATTATTATGGGTATAATATATATTTGGGATTATATATTTAAATTTAATATGGATATTATATTATATATATAATATATTATAAATGGGGTTTAAAAAGGGGGGATATGGATATTATATATTTAAAATATGGATATATGGATTTATATATAATTTATTGGAAATTTATATTTTATATATGGATATATATATTATATTATATATGGGTGGATTATTATATTATATTATATATATTATAATTTTTAAAAATTTATATTAATATTTTATATGGATATATATTAAAGTATAATTGGGATATATATTATGATTTTAAAAATGGTATGGGAAATTTTTTTATATATATATATTGGGTATATATGGGTATAATATTTGGGGTATTTTAAAAATTTTAAAAATGGAATATGGATATTATATATTTAATTAATATATATATATTAAAATTATGGGTATTTTATTATGGATAATTATTAAAAATTATATTGGGATTATATATATATATTTATGCTTATATTTTAATTAAAAATTAAAAGGATATATTGGGAGTGGATTATATATAAAGGATATATATATATATTTTTTATTTAAAATTATATATTAAGATATATTATTATATGGGTATATAATTTTTAAATTTATATTATATATATATAATGGATATTTAAAAGGATTTGGGGGGGGAAAAATTATATATATTTAAAAATATTTAATAAGGATATATATATATATATATATATGGTAATTTATATATAATATATAATTATTATTTAAAATATTTTATATAAAATGGGTATGGATGGATTTGGGGTATATATTATATAATATGGATATATTATATATATTTAAAAATGGGAATATTTATATGGGATAAATATGGATATTGGGGGTTTATATATATTTGGGATATTTAAATTATATTTATATTTAAAATATTTAAAAATTATTATAATTATATTTTAAAAAGGATTAATATATATATTTATATCTGTATATATATATTGGGAAATTTTATATTTAAAATCTTATACAAAAAGTTATTAATTTTTTTAAAATTTTAAAAAAAAAAAACATTTTTTATTTTTATAGTTAAATTAAATCATTTTTCCCTTCTTCCCTTTTCCTTTTTTAAAACATTTTCACCTTTCCTAAAAATTTCACCCATCACTTTTGGGTCAAAACCCCGCAGGAAAGGACAAATTTTCCTTCAGGAAATTCCTACAAGACCCCTATGCGGCCTAGCTCCACAGACAAGGCTCCGTGACCCGTCAGAACGACTGAGGCCAATAAAGGGAGGATGGTTTATGGGTAAACATTCAGCAGGGATCTCCCACCAACCCCTCCTCTGTGAATCAACAGGCTTTGCTGCATGTGCGTGCAGAGAGGAGGTGCTTCCAGTCTCCTCCTCCTTTTTACTACCAGAGCCACCTCCTCTTTTCCTGCTCAGTCATTACTGAGCAAACAGCAGCTCTTCCTGTTGCTTTCTAACTCTTTGGTTTTTAGAGCTTGCAGCTGCTGCTGTGATTATTTTTTGTTTTAATCGGTGCATTAACAGTTTGAGGAGAATGGACAATAACCCCTTCGCTGCCAAGATCCAGGCCAGGATGGAGAAGGCAAAGGCAATGAGTGAGGAGGACAAGCTGTACAGATTCAATGGGGTGTTGTACCCCATCCTCATGTGTCCTGAGGAGCATTTAAAGTGCCTGGTTGACATTAAAGCCAGGGAGGATGACATCATGCTGGTGGCTTACCCCAAATGTGGTGAGTTTAAGAAAAATATCCAGAAAAAATCATAAGGTTGAACAATCAGGATCCTCAGGCTGCAGAAAAGCATCTAAAGCTTTATAGGCGACTCAGTGAAAAGTTTTCAAAATCCAAATTTTCAGCCAATTATAAACCTAAATATAATTGTTAACTAGGCTTATTAACTTTTTAACTTTACTTTTTAACTTTTCAATTAGCTTTTTACCTTTTTTCTTGACTTGTTAATTTTTTCCAACTTAATTTACAGTAGGTAATATGTCATTAATCTAACTGGTCAAATGCTAAAATAAGATGTACAGTAAAACAGCAGGATCATTGCTGAAGGGCTGGATATACAGTAGATCTAGTGCTTCTAGACCTCACTGAGGGACGGGGGGACTCCATTTATAAGGGGGATGCAAGGAATCAAAAACGCTAACTTGCACTATTAAGGGTTAAACTGTCTGACATCTTTATTTTAGTAATTCTAGATATCTAGTTTATACACTGCTTTATTGCTGCTTAGCTGAGAGAAAAACTTCAATTTAAATAAAAAAGAAAACAAAAAACGTATATGGAAGTTCATCGATAGCAGAATTTTTGTCTTTTTAGATGGAAATAATCAGATGGGTTAAAAAGTTCAGTAGGTTTTTTATTGAAAGAAACAGTTTTGCTTTATGTTGCACAAATTTAAACTTACAATAAAAAGTTGGTCTTCTGGGTGGTTTGACCTGCAGGAAACCTACAACACTTCCTAGTTGCCTCTGCCATGTCTAAGTTGCAATGAATTAAAATAAAAAATGAACAAATTCAGCTGTCAGAACAGAATATTTACCATAAAAAAAACAGGAAGTCAATCAGGTCAGGATTTAAACTGATTTTCAAACCTGCACACTGCAAAAATGATCTAGAAATAAGTAAACATTTCTTAAATTAAGTGCATTTACACTTGATTTGAATAGGTAAATTTGATAATATGCCAATGGAATGAGTATTTTTACCCTTAGAATAAGATAATTAGATGAAATGCACTTGAAATAAGAAGATGCAATTGTGTTTTCTTATTTTAAATCTAAATTGTCTTGTTCCGTTGGCAAAATGTCTCTTTAATCTCCTCAATTTAAGAAGAAATGCACTTATTTTAAGAAAAAATTACTTATCTAGATTTTGTTTTTTTCCAGTGCAGAGATAATTTATCAACCTGGACTTCAGGTTTAAAGACCGGCGCGCTGTCAGGGAAAACTAATACATACTGCATACAAATGGTGGAGTCCCATTTTTTCACCTGCCTGCACCTTAACCTCTGTCCAGACTTTACATAAATGCCTCTATTGTTGAAGGTCGTCGCTCCTGGAGGTAAAACAGGTTGGGCCTGTAGAGGGAAAGCCACTCCTGCCTCCAGGAGACACTTCCTCCCAAACTATCAGCTATGGATGTACAGAGGTCTTTCAAGCAGTTGATAAAAGTTTTACAACCTCATAGCGTCCATGTAGCTTAGCTTCTGTTCACCATTGGAATAAAAGTTTTAAAGCTTCGTTTAAATAAAAAGATAAACTGTTGTATAGGAATGTAAAGGAAGGCTCAGTGATGTGATAATTAACCCTCCATCAGTGAAAAACTTTGAAAATCCAAATGTCCAACCAATAGTATTTTTGGAATCCAGGACAAGACTTTATTACCTTTGGAACATTCAAGAAATATGGATATTTTGAGAGCATAAATGTATTTAAATGTAATAACAAGAAACAAATATATTAAGAAAAATATAGGAAATTCATCAAAAACACTTTAAGAGTGAAAGAAACACATTTTGTTTGGTACAAAATAACGTTAGAGCAGGCATCCACAAAGCCAGTCCTGGAGGGTCGCTGTCCTGCAAGTTTAACAGGTTTCCTGCTCCAGCAGCTGATTTACATCGATAGCTGATTAACAGGCTTTTGTTGAACTGCAATCATCAGAATCAGCTGTGCTAAAGCAGAGAAACCTCTAAAACCTGCAGGACAGCGGCCCTTTGGGGACGCCTGCCTAAGAGCCATTAATCCTGATAATGGCACTTACATTTTCTAGTTTATGCACCTAAATAACAGACTTGCTATCAGTGTATCAACCCTCGAGACCTATCAGGTCTTCTGGCTCCAGCCTGCTCTGCAGACCTAGAACCAGAACTAAACATGGAGAAGCAGCATTTAGTTCCTATGCTCCACTTATCTGGAACAAACTTCCAGAAAACTGTAAAAGTGCGGAAAGCCTGAGTTCCTTTAAATCAAGACTAAAAACACATTTGTTTAGGATTGCCTTCCACTGTTCTAGTTAAACAGTTCAACTAAAACGTGTTTTCTTTAAATTAATCATTTCAAAAGCATTACCATTAGTATAATAATAAAGAATATACATACAAAATAAAAGATAATTTTCCTTTTTGGGGAGCAGAAAGGCAATTCAGGTTTTTTTGTTCCACCTGTGAACCAAAAGACCTCGCATAGGAACGTGAGGCTCTCTCTAAGGGTGAGAGGAAGGTTGTAGGTGCCACCAAAAGGCATTTAATTTTACTGAGACGTCGGTAATCTAGAGTGGGATCCCCCCCAGTTATCCAGGTCGGCACCAGAGGATTGGTGTGTATCGGGCAGAGTTAAATTACCTGTAGATGATGGGAAAGGTTTTGCAGTTCTATGGTAGTAGAACAAAAGGCAAGGTTCTGGGGAATTGTCAACTGCCCAAGGAGACATTTTTGATCAAATGCTAACCCAACTGTTTTTAATATTCTTTTTTGTTTTATTCATTTGATTCTGTTTTATCTTTCTGTATTTTAATCATGTAAAGCACTTTGCATTGTCTTTGTACTGAATTGTGCTATACAAATAAATTTGCCTTGCCTTGCCTTGCCTTGCCTTGCCTTGTTAACTAGGCTTATTAACTTTTTAAATTTACTTCTTAACTTTTCAATTCGCTTTTTACCTTTTTTCTTGACTTGTTAACTTTTTTCCAACTTAATTTACAGTAGGTAATATGTCATTAATCTAATTGGTTAAGTGCTAAAATAAGATGTACAGTAATGTAGCAGGATCTTTGCTGAATGGCTTGATATAGATCTTGTGCTTCTAGACCTCACTGAGGGACGGGGGGAATCCATTTGTAAGGGAGATGCACGCGATCAAAATGCCATCTTGTCCTTTAAAGGGTTAATGTGATCTAGTCAGAATTTTAAAAGGAGAAAAATTAAGCAAATCTTAATCCTCCCAAAATGCAGAGATCTAACCTCCATCATGGCTTCCTTGTATGTGGTGACAGCTGCAGTAATAAACTATCTATTTATACTTACATTGGTTAATATCTCATTAAATAAGTTGCTAAACATTCCTGCAGAATCATGCAGTGAATATTTAGATGCATTTAATGCAGATAAATTGGCTTAAGTTATTCACCCTGTAAATGAACAAAGTAGAAAACAAATGTTTGCAACTTCAACAATCCCCTCATTATATGGCTTTAATTTGATAAACATGAAGACTGCTAGTTAATAATCTCAGAGATGAAAAGCAAAGGCCAAAGTTACCTGTAATAAATGTTTAATTTATATTTCTACATTCAGATAGTCGCGCTATAACATGTCATCACCAATGAGGAATAAAATTAAATAGTTTCAATTCCAGGCTGCGAGTCATTGAAAAATAATCACAGACCTAAATTCCCCTAATTTGGTGTTTTATTCTAGAAAACAGTTTTCTGCTGTATGAGGAATAAAAGTGCCCTTTTAATTAAAGTTCAGAGAATACCACATGGTTCAAAGAAACTGCTTCAGATGTAAATGCTTATCAGGTCAATGGAGATGGAAGAAAGAAACAATCAATTAAAACTAAAAACTTTTCCGGAAAACTCAAAAAAATGAACCATCACCTTCTTAAAGAGCCAAACCGAATAAAAACATCACAAAAAGGGAAATGTGGTGTAGATGCTTATCAGGCGGAGTCCTTCTTCCATCCATCTATCCTTCTCTTCCTCTTTATCCGGGGCCGGGTCACAGAGGCAGCGGTCTAAGCAAAGATCCCCGAGGCGACAACAGACCAGCTCAGAGACATAGCCCCCCCAGGGTGTCCTGGTCCTTCCACCAGGCCTCCTCCCAATGGGACATGTCTGGAACACGTCCTGATGGAGGCGACCAGGAGGCATCAGGAACAGATGCCTGAGCCTCCTCACCTGGCTCCTTTTGACGTGGAGGAGCAGAGACTCTACTCTGGCTCCTCCCGGGTAGCTGAGCTCCTCACCCGATCTGGAAGGGTGCGCCCAGCCGCCCTGCGAAGGAAACTCATTTCACCCGCTTGTATTGGCGATCTTGTCCTTCGGTCATTACCCCGATGTCATGACCATAGGTCAGGGGGGGGACGTAGATCAATCAGGAAATCGAGAGCTTTGCCCCCCTGATTCAGCTCCCACGACAGTCCGATACAGCGACCGCATCACTGCAGACGCCGCACCGAGCCGTCTATCGATCTAACGCTCCATCCGTCCCTCACTCGTGAACAAGGTACCTGAAGTCCTCCACTTGAGATAAGGCATAAGGCATTGGCAAATTATCCCATTTACTTACTCAAATTAATGGTAAATACACTTAATTTAAGGCATTTTTTTCTCATTTTTAGATGGTTTTTGCAGTGCATTTTTATAATCAAGCGTCATCTTAGTCTCTCTTTGCCCATCTGTTCACTGTTTGCAGCCAGAAATGAGGCTCTGATAGTGAGCTGCTCTGGTGAACTGACATGTTGACTCTAGATAACAATGTTTCCTTTGTTCAATGTGAAAAGAAAAACTATCAACAGAAGTTAACTTTTAATGTTCACATTATTGCTGAAGTAACAAATGTTCAGTGGAAAAGCGATCTAGAAATAAGAACAAATTTCTTAAATTAAGTGTATTTATAATTAATTTAAGTAGGTCAATAAGATGATCTGCCAATGGAATGAGTATTTATGCTCTTAAAATAGGATGATTAGATAAAATGCACTTGAAATAAGACAATGCAT